AAGAAAAGCAGTCATCGTTGACACATGCTAAACTTAGCATTCCCCATTCTTTGTTTAAAATGGGAAGACAAACACAGAAAGGGAAAGCCAGAAACATAGTAACAGCCTATGGAAAAGTCACAGATTGATGGAAAGTGGATAAAATAGCCAACCAAAGCCAAATAGTGTTTCTTTGCTTTGTGTAAGTAGGGTGATGATTTTTGCACAATCCTATTCAAAACGTTTTCCCCAAGGGCTTAGATGAAGACAAAGACATAAAAGGCCAGTTGATCAAATGCATTCCATTCACACACTGGACAACAAACTAAAGATTGAGAAAAGAACTTGGTAGGCAATAGGAATTGGAAAAAATTAGGATGATTTTAATAACTAAGAAATAGGGCTGCCTATACTCTTGATTCTACATTTTTTCCAGAGCAATAACAATCTTTACAATTCTTTCTCAAAGCCCAATCAGATTTACTTTCATTCAGTTAGTAATTTAACTCATTAGCAGTATTAGTATTGAACGTATTCCAAGATCGTCTTTTTTTTTTTTTTTTGAGTTGGAGTCTCACTCTGCCATCCAGACTGGAGTGCAGTGGCATGCTCCCAGCCACCGCAGCCTCGACCTGCTGGGCTCCAGCGATCCTTCCGCCTCAGCCTTCCAAAGTAGCCGGAACTACAGGCGTGCAGTACCACACCTGGCTAATTTTTGATTTATTGTAGAGATGAGGTCTCGCCAAGTTGCCCAAGTGGATCTCGAACCCGCAGGTTCAGGCAATCCACTCGCCTCAGCCTCCCAAAGTGCTGGGATTACAGGCTGAGCCACCAAGCCCGGCCCCAAGATCTTCTTACATACAGTTCCACATAAAATGACATAGACCTCAAAGTCACCTGACTGATAAAGGTCTTGAGTTTGAGGTAAATAGGAAGTCTATTATATAAAAATGAAACATAACATCTAATTTAATTATGTAGCACCTTACTAATTTAAACTTATTCTTGCTTGGAATGTTTATTCTCCAATAACTATTTTAATGGATAATAATGATTACAAGTTGCCTTCCAAAATCACCTAAGAGGAAATGTCTCTGGGCCCCAGTTTCCTTTTTTATAAAATGAGGGGATTGAATCAAAAGGTCACCAAATTTAACATACTGTAATACTTTATGACAGCAAAATTTCTCATTAAATGTATATTTAAATTATATAGTTTTTACAGTTTGGCAGTTCCTCAAAAACTAAATGTAGAATTACCATATGACCCGGCAATTCCACTCCTAAAGAAATGAAAGCAGAGACTTAAACTAATACTTACACACCCCATTGTTCGCAGCTGCATTATTTACAATCACCTAAAGGTAGAAACAACTGAAATGTCTGTCATTAGATGCACGGATAAACAAAATGAAGTGCAAACATACAATGGAATATTATTCAAATTTAAAAAAGAATGAAGAACACTGAAAACATTATACTAAGTAAAATAAGACAGGCACAAAAGAACAGATATTGTATGATTCTACCACATGAAATGTCTAGAATAGGTAAATAGAGAAAGAAAGTAGATTACAGGGGATGGAGGTAGGAGGAATGGAGAATTATTAATGGCTACAGAATTACCGTTTTGGGTCACGAAAGAGTTTTAGAAGCAGACAGTTGGTGTTGGTTGCATAACTGTATGATTGTAACTCATGTAACTGAATTATACTCTTTAAAGTGGTTTAAATGACAACTCTTATTTTTACCACAATTAAAAAATTATAGAATTTTAAGATTTGTACAGATAAGAAAGCCTAGTGTATACGATTCTAGGCAAGTCTTAATCTGCTCAATTTTCAGATTTTTCATCTATAAAACAAGAATAATCAAATGAATTGTCAATGTATGTGATCCATAGTGGAGCATCTGCCTAGAATTCATGAGAAAAAATAAATTCCATGTATGAATAAAACTACTTAATCAACTTGTAATAAAACAAAGTAGAGATATACAATACTACCTAAAAAATATGGAATGGTTGAAGCCTGCCCAACTTGATTGTGGCCAGACTGAATATATAATCATATTTAATGATGAAATAAGTCAATCACAAATAGGATTAAATACTACAGAAATTCAAAAAGCCAAGCACTCTCTGGGGAAATAGTAAGAATCTAGTGCAATGATTTTCCATGTGTACCTTGCCCATGGCAAGGCTATTCCAACTGTAAAGATGGGTGTTGCCATAAATTAACTTCAAGCATTCTAATCCCATTGATAAGACAATCATACCTATTTCAAGATGAGGATATTTCCTGAAGAATAATATGATTACTTCACCAGAGAAAAAGGGAATAAGAGAAGAACACTACATGTACTTTAATGTAAAGGTACTGCCTTTAAGTTATTAGTATTTTTATTACCAACAACCATTAACATTTTAAACACTGAGACACAGAACGTACTCATAGGAAGTGCTTTACAAGTATTAATTCATGTAATCCTCATCCCAACCTGACAGTATAGGCACAGTTATCTACATTTTACAGATGAAGAAACTGGGGTGCAGAAATTTTACAGACCTTGCCCATGGTCACACAGCTGGTAAGTAGTAGAACCTGCAATTGCACTCAGGCTCTTGGCCAGTATTTTTTAAATAGCCCCAAACTTTTTACTCATCAGTGAGAACCAACCTACAGAAAGGTTAATTCTTGACACTACTAATTTTAAAAAGACTTTTTCTTTTTGTCTTTTTTTGGGGGTCGAGGTCTCACCTGTTGCCCAGGTTGAAGTGCAGTGGCACAATCACAACTCAGGTGACCCTTCAGCCTTAGCCTTCTGAATAGCTGGGACTACATGCATGCACCACCATGCCCAGCTAACTGAGGTCAAGCACTGCAATCTCAGCCCTTTGGGAGGCCAAGACAGGAGAACTGCTTGAGCCCAGGAGTTCAAGAGTAGCCTGAGCAACACAGTGAGACCTCATCTCTACAAAAAATTTTTTAAAGTTTTGTGGTAGTACACACCTGTAGCTCCAGGTACTCAGGAGGCTGAGGTAGGAGGATCACTTGAGCCCAGGAGATCAAGGCTGCAGTGAGCCAGGACCATACCACTGCATTCCAACTTGGCCAAGTGAGTCAGAATCAGAGTCAGTGTCTGTCTCTCTCTCCCTCTCTCTCTTTCTCTCTCCCTCTCTCTCACTCACTCTCCCCCCCTCCAAAAGCAATTGGGCTAATAAATATGACCCTAATACATAAACAATTAGGAATAAGGCCCGCTACTGATAGATGGGACAGTGGGGTAGTTAGGGAGAAAGTCAGAGGTCATGGAATTGGAGAGGTGCCTTATAAGGTGAGTGAATACTATAAACAGACTGTGCTGCAGGCCACTGAGTAGGACTGATGAGGTTGACGGGTCACATCTCAACATTTAAGCAACAGCCTGGAAACTCAGCCTAACTCTTTAGACTTTCTCCAAGTAAGAGCCTTCAAATCATGGCACTTGCCACCAGCTAGTCATTCACAGGGCAATTACTGGAAATGTCCATATTCCAATTATTGTTGATTTTTATAATGGAGGATATTGGAATAAAGTGGGAGAATGGCAGGGCAGATGGCTGATGCTCTTATCATCTTTAGCTATCACATCTGGTGTTATAATGCTCAATCTAATCAGCCCATGTGGATGGATTAGGGAGGGTCAATACCCCCCCATCATTAATCATTTCTCACGCTAGCTCAGAATCCCCGAAGACTATGTCTTCCTCCATTAAACCTGCAATCCATCTGACTCCCCTGGTTCTGATTCCATGTTCAACAACATTATAACTATTTCCGGACTTTCTGTCCGGACATAGAGCAAAAATGTACCTACCATTTGGAATTCAAACAATTTAGTCCAAGATTTTGTTGGTAAATTCAGCTTAATGTATCAGCCTTATGAGTTTAGTTAAGTGACCCACCCAAGAGAGATAAATTTGCGTTTGGCTTGATGAAAACAGAGTCCTTGGCCTATACCAAGCCAGATCTTGGCTCAGGATAGTGATTGCCATCCTATGAATCTCCTACTCTACCTTTTTTCATATCCCGCAGAGTTTTTTTTCTTTTTTCCTGTAAGGATTATATATCAGGGAGTTGCAAAAATTAAATGCGATAAAGGTAATTGTGCTGACCAAATTTACTGGTGCATGATAGATACATGTTAGTTTTCTTCCTATCTTGCCTCTATCTAGACTTTATGGATCCAGATTTAAAAGTTAGCAATTAGAAAACTTTATGCTCATGCTAGACTCATTTTTTAATATACTCAATGAAACTAGACTATGAGTTCTGGGGGAAACAATTTTTCTCCTACTTCTCAGATACTAAAAAATAGACTATTTAGTTCAAAAAAAGTTAGAGTATGACAAGAGGGAAAGGGCTCCTAAAAACAGACCTATTAAAAGCCAAAAGGAGTAACAATATAATTTCTACAGATAAATGGGCAATATAAATAGAAAAGCTATATAAATCACCCCAAGTCCAAAGTCAGAAAGAAACCAGTCCAATACATTGTAAATCGCATTAAAATGATACCTATCAAAATCGCATTAAAATGATACCTCTCAGCCATTACCTTGATTACAAAAGTAGTATCAAACAACAAATGGTAAATAGTATAAAGTACAGTAGAAATGTTTGGGTTGGTTACAAAGTGATCTTTGAGAATCAAAAACCGGTGGTAAAATCCATTTTGCAAGTCACTTTCTTTTGTTTTACTGTTGTTATCATCCAACTTTTGCAAAATCTTTTTCACATGAGCCAAATTAAAAATATAAATACATATAGAATGTTTTATTTCCTCCTAGTCTGTTTTTTTCTTTTTTCTGGTTGTGGCTGAGAGAGTTGAAATTTTATGTTACAATTTACAGGTTTTTTTCTCTGTGAGTTTGTTGACAGCCCACAGCTGCCTTAATCTTCCACATGGGCTAGTATAAAGATGACACATCAAACCATATTCACCATCAGGATTAAAAAAAAAAAAAAAAGAGTGCATACCTCGTTCAAACTTTAACCGCTGATAAAGCTGAAACTGATCCACAGGTACCAAACAGGCAATCTGAAACCAGAGATACAGAGAAGATGAGATTTTAGCCATTATAAGACCCTGAGTTACCAGCTTTTCATGATTGCACTTTCTGGTTTTGCTTACTATATTCCACTTATACTAATTGTTTGCTCTATACTGTTCATGCAGTAATATATAGAGCAATTTTCAAATCATCCCCACTCCTCTACCGTGGCTAGGAAACACCCACTCTCCAAAACACCGAAACTCTGATCGCCTTCCATTCTCTCATCAGTGGCTACTAAGACCAAACAACCGAATGTTATTACTTAGACCTCCCAAAATATTCATGTTCATATATGCAAAATGCTCCTTTTCTCTCTATATTTATTTAAGAAATGTTAGAAATATTATAGTTCTAGTTTTGGATCCCTTAAAAAGTAAGGTCAGGTAGACAGTGCCTCAGGGTTTATGAAAACTTCATTCACTACCTAGAAAATAAATAGTTCCTTCTAAACAATATAAAAATCATTTATTCTGACAAAAACCACTTCATAGAGCCCTTGATAATCATACATTGATATCCCAGACCTTGCTAAAGAAGTGCCTAAGATATTTCTTGCGACTAGACTTGCATCTCCATTGCAGATGGCAATATAAACCAGACTTACTAGTGAACAATGATTCATATCTAACCAAATGACATTTCAGATTAATCGTTTTAAAATTGTATTTCAAAGGTAGATGCCGAAAAAGCTAACTGCTCTTAAACTAGCTTTCTAAAAATATTAATTCCACTGATGTCAAATGTAAGTTTATTGACATTGCTTAAAAGACTTATAACTAAGAAAAATCAAGGAATTTGATATTAGCCTTCCTTTGTTATTCAGCAGGCTGATAAAGAATACAGTTTTAGCTTTGACAATTCCAACTCTAAATTATTACCTTTTTTTGGTATAAAACATATCTAGATATAAGTTCTTACAACTACAGGAAAAAGTCTACTTTGAGAAAACTGGAATAAAAAAGATGCAGCTAAAATTTTACTTAACAAATATAATACATCTAATAATACATTTAAAATATAATCCTTTCCCTTAAAAATAATCTCAATTTGTTTATTTTGAAAATAAATCAAACTAAGGTAGCTAAATGTATCAAGGACCACAATTAAGCAAGTCTAGTCTTTCCATTCCAAGTAAAATATGGTAAAACATAAATTTAATAATAAAAATATTTTTCTCCAAATTTTCTTTCTTTAGTTGGAAAGAAAATGTTACATTTTCACCTGGTACCTTAAATAAAAGCTCCTTAGCAATTCTTGCAACAACAAAAAAAAGTCAATTTCATGTTATGATTATTTTACTATAGCTCTTTTTTTTCTGTTTAAGTTTTTTTTTTTGCTTTTTTTGCTTTTAAGATGTGGGATACTCTTCAGGGTTAGGTATATTACTATAGTTATTTTTAAAGTATGGCTAGATTTTTATTATACTGAAAGTCAGCTTTGTTCATTTGCTATAATACTACCCAGTCATCTTCCCTAAAAGACAAGGTAGCTCAAATAAAATTCAGAGTTGGAGGCAAAAGGTACAGACAAATGAAGTGATGGAAGCATTAAGGAACCACAGTTCACTTCCTGACTTTGTCACTAATTTACTGTGGGTAGAGGATAAAATAACCTAATGCTACTTCAACTTTTGGGCCAAGGTGACTTGATAATATCATCTGAGCCCAAGAGACCTCAGTGACATTCTATGAGTCTATTTTTAGTCACCCCCTAAAAGCTATTTAAGGTCTTTTTTTTCTAGGGGACAGTACTATACTCCATTCACCCCCAGCTAAATGGTAGTTTGTGAACTAATGAGCTTCCTTAAATCATTCTAAGATAACAGTAAAATTCTAATTTTTTCAATGATGAACAATTTATAAAACAATTAAGTCAAATACAGTTTATGGAAGACAAAGAAAATAGAAGATAAGATTTTAGACACAGATTAAATGCTAATGAGAAAAAACGATAGAAATTGATGGAAAAAAGTCAACCACAGTAGAGAGAGATTTTTCATTTTAAATTTTATCAGAATATAATTACTACCAACAGGAAAGTCACAGGTCTCTAATTTTTTTTTTTTTTTGTCTTTTACTTTGCTTTGGATATCACATTTATTGTAAGTCAAAGGTTTATGAAGAATTAAGCCTTAATAAGGTAAATCAATTTTTTATTGAAATTTGTGCCACAAAAAATTAATTTCATCCCTTGTCATTCTACTTGGTCCTTTTGGAATCGTGATCACACACAGAACATACCATTCTTTTCCCTAATCCCCATCACTGAGACTTGCATCTTCTCTATGTACTTGCTGACAGCCTACCACAGGAAAAGCTCTGGGCTGGAAGCCTGGCACCAATGAGCAAAGACACAGAGTCATACAGAAGTTACGTTCAAGGAACTAAAATTACTTGGAAGGCAATAAATATATATAAGATTTTTAAAAATCTACTCCTTGATCTTGTCAGATGGATTCTGCAGAGGAGAGGTAATTTTCTGAAATGTTTCTATCATACTTTTGGCTTTAGATAACAGAAAGGTGGACAAAAAAATGACAATAACAAATCATCCAAAGTATTGAATTCCTGGTTCCACTGCCATTTGGAACTATGTCAGAATTGCTCAAGGCCTCTGTTTCTGCAATTATAATATTGGAATAATTATATTAGGATGATTACTGGAAGACTGTATCAGGCCACAGGTAAAAGGGCTACCACCAAATTTTTTAAGATATTCATGAGTACTCTAAAATTGACTGCTAAGCTGATAATCCTCCAGAATAATAAAAAAGATTATAAAGAGGAATCTTGTGGTAGACATTTATCTTCTTTCTGCCAACAAAGAAATTCTGAATCATTCAAAATCATTCTACAAAAAGCTACAAAATTCTACAAAACATTCTACAAAAAGCTGCAAAATTTGTATCAAGTTCCTAAGTGCCATTCCCCCACTTCCCCTCATGAACACCTTATATACCCATAGTCAGTATTGAAATAATGAAATTTACATTGCTATAATACAATTAAAGAATCTGTAGGCCATATTCAAATTTCACAAACTGTCCCAGTAAGGCCTTTTTTCAGGCTCATATCCAATCCAGGTTACCACCTTGCATCTAGTTGCACTGTCTCCTTGACCTTCCAAACTGTGCCAGTTCCTCAGTTTATCTTTGCCTTTTATGACCTTGACACATTTGAAGAGTCCAGTCCAGTTATTTGTACAATATTCTCTAATTTGGATCTGACTAATGCTTTCTCATGATTAGACTGAGGTTGTGTATTTTTGGCAAGAATATTACACATGTGACCCTGGGGGCGTCAGGAGCTACATGAGACATGTCTCATTATTGGTGATGTTAACTTTTTAACTTGGTTATGGTGGTATCTGCCAGGTTTCTTCTCCCTTTGTAAACAACAAGTATCTTGTAGGGAGATAATTTGAGACTATGCAATATCCTGTTTCTCATCATACCTTTGCCCACTCATTTTTGTGGCTATTAATACTTCTTGCCAAAAATAATTATTGCTGTTATATTGGCTTAATAATTGTTTTTTATTTCCATCATTCATTCTATATTTGGTGATAAGAATACTACTGTAAGAAAGAGCTGTCCCTTCTCCTGCTTGTTTATTTATTTATTTAGGTCAGCATAGACCACTGACATTCATTTTATTCAGAAGGTTCTAATTCACTACTATCCAAATCCACTGACAAGTAGTAGAAGCAAAGTTATTTAAGTATCTTCTCAGTTATCAAGAGATCACTCCCCTCAGATTAACTGCTAACAAGTATTATTTGATTTAGTTATTTTTTGCTACCTCTCCTTCAAAGTCTGTGCTAAATTAACAGATAAATAAAAATGTCCCTCTCTTCCTATCCAAGCACAAAAGACCACTTTTCTTCTTCATCCTCATTCTAGAAAGTATTTTCCAAAAAAAATGAATTCAAAGAGAAAATAAATTGATTCATTTTAATGAAATAATATCAGAATAATAATAAGAAAAGCCTTACTAAGGTTCTGATGTGGCCATGTGCTCTTTGAGCTACAGTTGTTGCCATGCTTCCTAACTTTGGCCCCCTTCCCTGCCTTGGGGAAGTGAATCTCCTCTTTCTTTCTTTCTTTCTTTCTTTCTTTCTTTCTTTCTTTCTTTCTTTCTTTCTTTCTTTCTTTCTTTCTTTCTCTCTCTCTCTCTCTCTCTCTCTCTCTCTCTCTCAGATTTACCTTTTAAATAAACTACATGTTCTAATCTAAAAAAAGAAAGAAAGAAAGAAAGAAAAGGCTACTAATTGCCTACAGTTGCAATTTGGTTTTGTTTCTGACAAAAATGAACCTGAGAATCCTTATTAAATACTCAGTTCCTACTCTACTGAATATCTTTGCCTTTCCATTCACCTACAGCGGAGCAAAACCAGGGAAGTCATAATATAGTTACATGCGGGAGTGCTGTAACAGTACACATAACAGTTCTTTGGATATCACTAACATCCACAACTGAAAAGAAATGAAAAGTGAGGCACACCCTTGTTTATCAGTATTAACTATGACCATAATATTTGAACAGGAATCGCCATCTATAGTAACACTAACCCTACAAAAAAAAGAAAGAAAGAAAGAAAAAGAGCAGACAGTAGAGCCTGCTTAGCACAGAGGCATTCAGGCCGAAAGTAGTGTGTGTTCCCATAAAAAATGTTAATAAATATACTATATATTACCTTTTGGCTAGAAAACTAATAGTCAAGAAATAAAAGTTGAAACAGAAGTTAGAAATAGTCTTCAGAAAAGTATTGCCCATCAGAGTCTGGAAAGCCAGGACAAAAGGAAAAAAGTGCCCAGACTTTACTTAAATCTGGCCCTATAAATTGCACTTCTGCTACAGTTGCTTTGAAAATTAAAGAAATAGGCTGATCACAGAATAAAACAGATCAGTACATCTGGAGATGGAATTGACCACTAGTAAGTAGATCATTACAACCTATCCACATTTTGGCAAATTTTGAGGTG